GCCATTGTGGGTATTGCACCTCTCGAATGAATCCTGCTTGTAATAGTTTATTTACTTCCTCAGCTATTATGCGATTCCGTTCAGGTGCGAACCGTCGGTGCCTCTGCTTGACTGGCCTGAATTCTGGGTTAACCCTCAAACTATGGCATGAGACCGTAGGATCGATCCCTACCATGTCCGAGTGATCCCAGGCAAAGGCATCCGAATTGCACCGAATGACCCTGATCAATGCTTCCTTCTCTTCGGCTGTGCAAGATGAGCCAATGTAGGTGACCTTCTGAGGGTCTCCGAGGACTACTTCTATAGCTTCGAGGGACTCCTCGGTAGGTGCTTCAGCCTCGGCTTCTTCCTCTGCCTTGAGATACTTGGGCAGAGGATACTGTAACTGCTATTTGATTGCGTCTTTAGGATTCGCCTCTGACTGAGGTGATTTCGACGCCTTCTTTGCTTCATATAGCGTTAGCATGTAACATTCTTTTGCAGCAACCTGGTCTCCCCAGAGGTCGATGACCTCCCTGCCATTTGGGGATAAATACCTCATTACTTGATGAAGGGTAGAGGGGACTCCATTCATACGATGGATCCAACCTCTCCCCATAATGAGGTTATAAGATGGATGAATCTCCATCACGACAAAGTTCTCCTTCAGAGTCCTCTTTGCTGCAGTAACGGATAGATCGATCACCCCAAGCGGATTCACCTTAGTACCATCAAACCCCATTAGGGGGCTGGAAGTTGGCCTGATGGACGATGGTGAAACCCTCAGCTGATCGAAGGCTGCTTTTGTAATGATGTTGGCGCTACTTCCCAGATCTATCAGCACCCTCCTGATTATATAATTCGCCACTAGGAGGCTGATGACCAAGGGGTCTTCATGCGGGCGCTGGACTCTAGACAGATCATTGTTACTGAATCCAATGTTGATGCTGCCTGGCGCAACCGTGTTTACCGAAGACAATCTTCGTAACTTATGAGCCTCTCTCAGCCTGGATCTGTACAACTCTTCAGACTCTTCATCATCCTCTGACCTTCCGTGTATGGCATGGATAACCTTTACCTGACCGCCCTCTACCCGTCGAGGGTTAACCTCCCGAGGTTTTACGTACTCTATCGTGGCGAGATACTCCACCAACTCTCCTCTCGCTATCATGCTTTCTACCTGTCGCTGAAGGGACCTGCAGTCATTGGTGGTATGCCCATAGTCTCTATGGTAGGCACAATGTTTATTTTTGTCCCTCTGCTCCAAGGGTTGTTTCATGGGCTGAGGAGTTGCGAACCTCGTCTTATTCTCTTAGAACAGGCGCGCTAAGGTAGTACGGAGAGGGGTAAGCCTGTCCTCTGTCCTTTGCCTCTTCTCAGGCGCTTGGGTGACTTGTGTGGTGGCATGAGGAACCTTCTGCATCCTTGTGCTTGCAGCTTTTTCTCGAGACTTGTTTTCCACTGTGACGAGGGTAGCGTGCTGTGCACGGTGGGCTACGTTTTCCTCCAACCGAATGTAGATTTGTGCCCTAGCGTTCAAAGTCTGCATATCCGGGGGGGAATATTTGATCAAGGATGTGTGAAACTTGGTTCCCTGGATCATTTCCAACTTAAATGTTTCTTTCGATTGCCGTGGCAGGGTGGCAATCTGCTATCTCCGAGGCTTCCATGTTAAACCTGGATAAGAAATCTTGCAGAGTTTCTCCCTTCCTTTGCCTTATGGTGAAAAGGCTGGCGATACTTTTCTTCTGCTTCTTATTTCCGCAATACTGGGCTAAGAACATAGTGCACAAGGTCTCATAATCAAGGATAGACTTGTGTGGCCTATTCCTGAACCATTCTAACGCTGCTCCGGTTAAACTGGTAGGAAAAACCTTACACATCCACCGATTGTTATGATCGTCCAGCGCCATCTTTTGCACATAATGATCGAGATGCCAAGAGGGGTCTCCTGCCCCATCGAACTGGGTGAAGGATGGCATAGTGAACTTCCTTGGTCTCTCCACAAGGTACACATCGTCAGTAAAGGGGGTCTTGACCAAGGAGTTCTTGTGCTCTCTAGCCATCTCGGCTGGTGTCTGAATTCTTAATAGCTTCTTTTCGTCGAAGGCATCTCGTACGCATGCGCCATCTGGAACGCCATTGGACCATACCGTAAGCCTATGGCTGGACTCGGCCTGTTCGTCCTGTGTGCGACGCGGGAGATTATCTGAAGCAACCGCCTCGGACCTCGTCCCTTGCTGTTGCTGAACCTCATTAGGTCGAGCCCCGTTGGGTGGTGTCCCGTTGGCCGGAGGCTCGTGAACTGGAGGTAAATTCTGGGTGGGGGGTGGTGCTGCAGCATCGCCTGGTGGTGGTTGTGGCGTTAGCCTGGCCATTGCCGTGTGCAGCGTATGAGTTTGCTGCTGAAGCGCAGCTATCTGGGCGACACTCGTATCGTTTGCTTGCCGGAGTGTCTCAAATTGGTGCAAGAACTCCTCTCGCATCTTTTGCATCAATTCTATCTGTTGATTCATTACTGACTCTCCGTTTGACATTCCAGATACGACTAAAGATTTGATTTGAAGAACAAGTGGGAGTATATTTTTATACGATTCCCACAGACGGCGCCAAAGTGTAGGTGCAAAATTCCGCTCAACCAATAATGATTGAGAAAAATCAAACAACTCACTCAAAAACAATAAGAATAAATAAGAATAGTGTATAGAAAAGCGTAGAATTGCTTGATCTCTTTATTGGAGGTCTAAGCCTCTATTTATATACAAAAGATTGTAGAATTATGGTAGGACTCGCGTTGCTTGTCCTCCAATTCTTTCTATATAAACATTCTTTACTAATATAGTTCTTTCCATTGTCTAATTTTCTATGCATAGAACTTGCCTTGTACATAACTTCCTATCTCAGAATTTTTCTTCTATGGTAAATCCTTCAATTGGTAAGACCTGTGCATTCTTGAATAACTGGGCTGAACATACTTTGATCCGGCTGTGCTTGAATAACGGGCCGGATGTTAAATATTAAAAAGTTGGACTGATGACCTCTTGATTCGGCCTTGATGAAGGTTGGAAGACAAATAACAGTGGTCTTGGGCTAAAAGATAATATAATTTGGACTTGATCCGGACGGGCCTCATATGTCCTTAGAATGTAGATATGTATAGTGATGACGTGTACGCTTCTTATTAGAGGGAGTTTTTTTCCCTCCACAACACCCATTAATAGGTTCATTAAATTTCAAAACCCATTAACTAATGATTAATTCAATAATCATTCCTAAACCAATTCACATTTTATTTTCTTTTAAAAAGAATATCATTTAACCTTAATCCCATCCTAGACAATTATTTAATCATTAAAATAATAAAATATAATTAAATGATATTATATTTAATCCAAAACCCAATAATACAGCCAATACCTAAACTTTGACAAATCATCCATGTCTCTACCAATAAAATCAATATACCAACAATTCAATCAATAATCAAGCACACACACAAACAATCATCATATATAATCATGAAATACAATTTAATTAAAATAAGATAATTAATCTAAGAACTCAATTAAATAAAACAAATCATTTAAAAATAAAAATAAAAGCAATTAAATCCAAATAAATCAAACAAATCATTTAAAAATAAAATAAAAGTAATTAATTCTAATTAATAAATCATTTAAAATATCGGGATATTACACCGTCCAACAACAACTTAATCTCAGGCTTATACTTGATCTTTGAAGAAGAATAGCAGGTAGATCAGACAACACTCCTCGAATGCTCTAACCCTTTCAAAATGTGATTGATTTTACTTCTTTTCTTCAACTTCTAGATTTGATGTAGAAGTAGATCTGCTTTTGTCTGATTGATGTATACTCAATTGTATGATCACGATCAGGATTTGAACAACATAAGACTAAAATCACTATATGAATATGTGTGTGTTCTAAAAAGACAAACAGAAAATTTTCTAAGATTTTATGAGACAAAAATCTTCCTATAAGGCTTTTTAAGAATGATAAATTGATAATGTAAAAGCCGTAAATAAACCTATGTGTATGACAAGGTTTATATAGAGTTTAGAATGTCCTAATCCCTCTAAAAATATGGAAAAATTCATGCATAGGACTTGGTACAATTCTAGACCAACTAGGAAACAATTCTGAAACAGGAAACTAAAAGTTGGAAACTGATCAGGACTACTTGAACCGGTTCAGAGGGACTAAACCGGTTCAAGATTGGCAGAAGTTTTCGAAACCAATCTTGAGTATCTTGAACCGGTTCAGAGGGGTGAACCAGTTCAAGTTTGGCAGACTTGAAATCCTTGGTTCATTCAGCCTAAAAACATTTTATGGTAAGTTCTAAAAAATATGAAAAGTGTAAAATGTGTCTTACCCTGTTTAGAATCCTTTCTAATATGTTGTTCGTACTTTATTTCGGATGTCCTCAATTATGGTAACTTTGAATAACCTTTCCATTTCGCAGTCGCTGTCGATCCCGATATAGTATATAACTTTGAATTACAACTCGACAATGACTTGTTTTGTTTCCGATAATTGCCAATTACAAAATAATATCTCACATATTACTCATAATTTTATTTAAATACAAGTATATTTTTATATAATCTTCCTAATCTGAAAGGTCATTATAGGATAGGTTTTTAATATTAACTCGAATCGGTCTGATTGGACAAGAAGCTAAGATAACTAGTATTGTCTCCATTTCCATTATTTGTTAACAATCTGAATATGAAAATCCATTAGATGGATAACAAATAATCTGAGAAGGGTATAATATTGGTTATTTGTGAGTAACTGGGGCTCGCTGCAAAATACTTGGAAGGAATTATTTGGTTTTGTAATATGTCACTATTCACCAATGTAACCAACACACACTGGCACATGCATGTACGTATATATATGTGTATCAATAAAGAAGTACTCTATGGTATAATCAGTATTAAATTTCTTCCAAATCCTTTTGTATTAATAGCCATTATGCAAGCACATGTGCTGCCTCTATCTTGCTAGTTTTTGGTTGTAGTTTTTTGAATGGTACAATTGCGGGCTACGGGCGGCGGTGAAGCTGGGTGGGCTGCGGCTGCTGGCGGTGGTTGTGATGCTTTCTGAGGTGCATCTGCTACCTATTTTAACGTCCATCATATTGGTGATTAGTCCTGGCTGCGATATTTGCAGGCCGTTGATGTTGATCTCGTCACGCATGATCTTAAGGGCTGCGGACATTTTGGGTCGGAGTCCGGTGATCTCTTGCACACATAGCAGCCCCACCTTGAGGAATCGGACGGCTTCCACGGCGGAGAAGTCACCCTTCAGCATAGGGTCCACCAGCTGCTCAAGCTTGTTGGACTTGTACATGTCCCATGCCTGCACAGCCACAAACATTTGCCACTTAAATCCAATTACTGTGTAATTTATGCAAGTTTGATTAGTTACATAATTTACATTACACACACAAAAAATATGAAATTTTGGTTTTGTGTGTGGGTGCGTGTGTTAGGCTGGCACTTGCAGCAACAGCCTACGACTACAAGGCATGCATGATGCATGCACACTTAATGTTAGAGGGTCTTGTTCACTTGGATGAGAAAAATATTAGTTATATATATAGATATATATATATGTGTGTGTGGGATAAGCATTCTACTCGTTACACTTAATTTAATTTGTCACTAATTCAAAAACTTGCGAAAATATATTACGTCAAAAAACATAATCACTAAACTAAGATAAGTATCAAAAATCAAAATAATTTGAGTTATCTTAAATAAAATTTTGAAATATTGTCATTTAAAAAAAAAAAAATCAATAATCTCCTTTTACGACATAAAAACACAATTTGAGGGTCAAAAAAATTTGGATGCATTCATGTGAGGTCAGAGGTGTGAAGTCATTGTATATCTTGTTTTTTCTACTCGAGTTTCGCAGTTCTACAGTGTCTAGAAGTACAACAATGCCCAAAAAAACACTAAATGCACTATGACCATCTAACATATTGACTTTAAATCACATATATATATATATATACACACACAAACATAATTCAATAATCACATAAAGAAATCTAGCTCATGTTATTGACTTGTAAATCTAGAACAACTTTGTATTTATGCCAGGACCAACCCTTAATTCAACATGTAAGAAATACAAATAATACATGTACTAAATGGAAATTCAAATTCAGTATTGTGACGCCAGTTGTATGTTGGTATGCATGGATATGATTAATTATTGCTTTGATAAAATCACTCATATATATGTATATATACCTTCTCGACAAGATAATGCTCTCCAAGTTCTACATCAAAATCAATTGCTGATCGTCCGGTGACAATCTCTAGAAGTAGCACTCCAAAACTATATACATCTGATTTTCGCGTTAAATGCCCACTGATAGCATACTCTGGAGCAAGATATCCTCTTCCATATCCAAAAATAAAATAAAAATCAGCACAATATATGGTATATATTTCTGTATATATATCAAACACCTACTTTAAAAGTCATAATTTATTTAAGAATAATAATTTGGAATAAGGTAATAACTTTGACAGATAATGTCGACATTAATTTCTATTCACGAGTTAGACTCCATATTATTACTCTTTATTTATATATTTATTTTTTAAGAAAAGAGTAGCTCCACTTACAATGTCCCGGCAACTCGAGTACTAATGTGAGTGATATTATCAGGAAAAAACTTAGAGAGGCCAAAATCTGAAATTTTGGCAGAAAAATTCTGATCAAGTAGTATATTGCTGGCCTTGATATCCCGGTGCACAACATGAGGCTTAATATCCTCATGAATGTAGGCAAGCCCTCGAGCAATGCCTAAGGAAATTTTGTGCCGTGTTTCCCAGCTAAATTGAACTCTTTTTTCCTCCCCACCTAGAATTTAAGCAAAAGCGTAAACGCGTTAACACGAATTGTCATCTCTGTTATTTTTACGTCAAAATTTTCCGACCTATCAAAATAATAAAGAAATGGGAATTTATATATATGTACCGAGCAAAGTTTGAGCAAGGCTGTTGTTTTCCATGTAGTCATAAACAAGCATTCTGCAAGCACGATTGATGCAACCACCATGCAGCTTAACAAGATTTTCATGGGTGATATTGGACATTGAAGCCATCTCAGACATGAACTCATTATCCCCTTGTTTTGATTCTACTGAAAGCACTTTCACAGCAACAGCTGTTCCATCTTGAAGCACACCCTATACAAATAGTCCAACCAATTAGAAAATAATTGCATGACAAAATGATGCTTAATTTTTACAGTACCAGCTACAAGTATATAAGGATTTGAAGCGTACACTGATCACCACAAGAAAGAGAGATTTGAAGAACCTTGTACTCGATCCTATTTTTTATCTAGTAAATTTGTTTGATTTTCTTAGTGTCATCGTGTAGAGAAGTTCCCCCGTACCGGGGTCCTTTCAACATTTGAATGGTTAATTTGGTGAACCACACCGTCATATCTAACTGTTGGGAGACCAGGGATACAATACTACTGCAATATTCTAGAATTTTTTGTTTCATCGAGAAGTTTTTCAATATCTCAAGAATATAGTATCTATGGTTGTAGTCGCGGTATAAATGATTCGGACTAATCTCAATATAAACCATCTATCATATTGATTCGAGTAAACATCGATGTAAACCGACCAAATCAGTCGGTTCATAAAGGTGTACAAGTCAGGATATCAAACCCTTAAAACAAGATTACAAAACATATCCGCCGATAGACGAATCATGAATTCATGTGTTTATTTTTGTGTAAACATTTCCACCCCACCTAGCGATTATGGTGAATCACTGTCACAAGAGAGGTTTGAGGCCAGTTCGAGTTGTTATTGTCAATCACAATCAATCACTTTAGCCTCCGGGCCTAATTAAGCCCAGATTCTAGATTAAGTCTAAATTGTTTAAGCCACCGGCCCACTACTAAAGGGGCCTATGGGTTGCTATTGTCCAAATTCAGTAAATAAGGTGCGCCCACAGTGGGACCCATCTCACTATTCTCATAATAAAGGTTGAATGTGGATTGAACCCACAATCATGTGGCTCCAAGTGTAAGATAGAACCATTTCGAAATTGGGTTGGACCCTATTAAGTACGAAGCTGGGGTTCAAGCAAATAAATGGAACCATGTACAAATAAAACATATATGCATTTTATATATACTTATAATGGTTGAACTTGCATGCCGCATTTCAAAAATGTGATATTGTGATATTTTCTCTATTTTTTTAAAGTAGGTGGTGACGGTTTGAGTTCTCAAAAAGACAAAATGAGGATGTATATATTTTTTTTGTTTGTTTATGACATATATATATATATATATACACACACACATATTCAATTACTTTCCGACGGAAAAAAGTATGCTCACTTCCAATTATATTCGTAAGATCTAATCCTACGGCTAATACTATCCTTGCACTGTTTTAGAGGAGTGATATTATTTGAATTAGTAATTAATGATAATTAAAGTAAAATTATTACAATAGACAGTTTCATAAAAAGAAAAAAACCAATTTTGTTTGACATAGCCTTTTAAGATTTAGTTGATTAACCGTGAATATATCTCTTCCATCTAAATCATATATGATTTGTTTTTTTTTTTTTTTTTTAAAGATAAAAATTAAGGAAGAGTATATAACAAGAATTTTTATATTTTTGGGGCAGAATATGAAGACATATTTAATTGATAGGAAAAAATAAGATTAGCAAAAAAAATAATAAATAAATAAATAAAAATTTTCTTGTCATATTCTTCCTTAACTTCTTATCTTTCAAAAACAAAGTTTCCATATATGATTTGGATAAAAATAATAGTCTTCCATTCACGGTTAATCAACCAAATCTTAAAAATTAAGTTGTATCAAATAAAATTGATTTATTCCCTCTTATGAAACTGATTATTATTGTCATTTTACTTCGATTGTAATTAATTACTAATTCAAATAATATCATTCTCCTAAAATAGTGCAAGAATTATATAACAGTAGGATATATATATATATATATATATATATATATATATATATATATATATAATGCACATAGTATAAAATTACCTTGTAAACACTGCCAAATCCTCCTTCGCCGATTTTATTGGAAGAGCGGAAGCCATTGGTCGCCACTTTCAGTTCATTGTAAGAGAATGCATCAATACTTCGACAAATACTTTCTGCCAACATTCATAAAATTAATTAAGTCAAAGGATGAACGCTAACGATCATGAAATAAGTCGTACGATAATAACTTAATTGTCGAAAAGTTTGAAGAAACAGGGAGTCGAACATTGGATACACTCAACTGGATCCGCTTCCAGTTTTGTTCAAACTTTTCATACTGAATTTCATCATGACCAAAACTGGAAAGGTCAACTATAATAAATTTTTTTTGGTAAATAAATAATGTAAAATTTATATCAACAACAACATTTATTGCAATGTCAACTACTCCAATTCACAATTGTATTTATAAGTCAACTGAAACAATCATACATCAACAGTAACAAGTTGATCATGATCTATTATTACATGCATGCATGCTTGTCAACTAATATAATTTAATTCGGAAGAGTTTAAAAAATTAAAAATCAGTGTGAATGTAAGATTTTCCTAACTACAATGCTCATAATCAGTATGTGCTTTGTTTATTGATTTCATTCCAAGCATTTATTGACTTAATTTCTAATTTATTTGATGAGTTTACTTTGTTTGCTATGTTACATTTTATAGTTACAAAAGAAGAAGAAGAAGAAGAAGAAGAAGAAGATAGAATTATCTTTTCTTCTTTTTTTCCTTTCTTGTAATGTAGAATTTGGTTTTTCTTTTTCAATAAAATAGAATTTGAGTTAAGTCTAAACACATGAAAAATAAGGGGCGGGACAATCATATTTAGACTTAATAGTTTAATCAAGAAGGCTAATTGAGGGTTTTTTTTTTTTTTTATTTCTTGCATATATATTGAATAAGATCAAAATTTTGATGTTATTCAATGCATCTAACATTCTCGGTTAGACTATGAGATTCCGAGAATCATTAACGCCTTCCAAATATATTTTTTTGAAATAAAATTGGATGTTTATGTACCTTCTCTGGTTTTGTCAAAGTGGATTGCCGAGGAAGAAAAGAAGCACTTTGAGCATAGAAAAGAGAACTTCATATCTCTATATGGTGTCCTTGCCTTAAACTCTCTTTGATCACCTCAAGATATATAGAGATATATGTATATACACCTGAACTTCGTAGCAATGAGCTCTGAAATCTCAAAACGAGAGAGAGAGAGAGGAAAAGGTAATCCTAGAGACAGAGAAAGATAGAGATGAAAAGGTGATGATGCCAGTGGGTTTTTTTAAAGCTGGAAATAGTTTATATAATGATCAAATTGTGTAATATTCTTATAATATATATTTGGGTAATGACGTCATGAACAATAATTCAAAATGAAGATTGGAATAGAGGGATGTTAGATGGAGGCGGCTGGCAATGTCAAAATGTGGTTTGATGTCAACTTTTGTTCACTATGTGCTATTTTAATACTTTCAGATTGGGGCCGACCAACGACATTTGTTATAAATTAGAGCCTGTGGACTCACTTTGATGTGTCATGAACGAGGTGGATTTAACTCACTACAGAGACCGCCACGTTTTCAATATATTCATTCCTAGATGAAATTTCAATGAAACCAGAATTTTAGATAATTACATTATTATATACTCGTATTATTATTATATGTATATTTTTTTGGCAGTATACTCGTATTATTATTGATCGAAATTCTTTGTTCTTGGTCTTTGGTCATTGGACATTAACGACACAATTGATGTGTAGTTATGTATCCCTTATACGTACGTAACCATAAAAGCTCCCTTTGCACAATTAAGTATGTATAGTACGTACCTATAAGCCAGTTCCGGGAGCCATGGATCTATAGTGTGTGAAACAAGAGTTACGCGGGGTGCGAAAACAGTTGATTTTAATTGTGATTAATTCCTTTAATGACCTAGATCTGATTATTAGGTCAACTTGCTTAATTTATGATTGATTAAATTGTATGATCAATTAAACATCCACAATCATAAATATAAATACTGAAAAGTAAAGCAAGTTAAGTTTAGAGAAATTGAACTAGAATTTTTAGTGAAGAAACCCTAGTTGATAAAATACGTCAACTGTTATGGGAAAAACCTCGTGGACTATGCAGTCCAAAGTAAACCAATTCACTATGTTTGAAACAAAGTATACTGAACTTTGACTCTGTCTCACACCCTATCGTTTTACACCATACCAACCGCTGACGATCCTCTGGCTTTGCGACTCCCCGTCCAACAGTAACTTGATCTCAGACTGACACTTGATATTTGTAGAAGAGTAGCAGGTAGATCAGACAACACTCCACGAATGCTCCAACCCTTTCAAAGTGTGATTGCGTTTACTTCTCTTCTTCAAGATCTGAACTCGATTATAGAAGAATTAAATCCTGCTTCTCATCTGGAATATCTGAATCTTCAGTATAGCTCCAATTCTGATGAGATAGAGAACAACACCACTAAATCACTCATGAATATATGTGTATGCTTTTATAAATAAATTCAGAATAATCAGATTTGATTTTCTGAATTTTCTCTCTCTAGAAGGCTTTCTCAAAATATAGAATTGATTTTCCCTAAAGCCCTCCTAAAACCAATGTATATGACATGGTTTATATAGAGTTTTGAAAGTCCTAATCTCTCAGAAAATATGATAAAATTCGTGCATAGGACTTAGAAGGAAATTGGGATCAAAAAGGAAACTTTCAGCAAAAAGGAAACTAAAATCCTAGTGCTGCTAGAAGTCCTTGAACCGGTTCAGCCATCTTGAACCGATTCAAGATGGACAGTACTGAATCCCACAGATTCTTGAACCGGTTCAGCCCTCTTGTACCGGTTCAAGATGGTCAGTCTTGAAATTTTAGCATCCTGATGATGTTGAACCTGTTCGATGGATCTTGAACCAGTTCAAGATGGACAAAATGTAAAAACTTGTTCCAAACTTTCAACCCTTCCTAAATGTTCTCACTATCTCTCAAAACATCTTATAGTATTGTTCTTATCATCTCGGAGTGTAGTATATCATGAACACTTGACTTTCTTCAAATCCGCATCCGATCTTCCATCTTTGAAATTTGTAACCGAAAAATTACAACTCGATCAGACTTGTTTTGACAACGAAATTATCCAATTACAAAAATATATCTCACAATCTCCCTCTTTGGCAATTTCGTGACAAAACCTTAAAAACAATTCAGCAATCTACCCAAGCAGGAAATAAATTACAATGATTGTTAAAGGAAATAAACCGCAGACATTTTCTTGAACCTCATGAAGCTTCAACAAATGTAGCAACCTGTAATCTACACATTAGCTCAAACACAACTACCCGTGAAGTTTAATCAAGAAAATAAACACAAGCATAAAATATCAAAGCTAATAATGCCTGAATGTCAATGTAATGTAATGCAATGAACAATGGTTCTCCCCCTCAATGCAAAAAGTATCTCTCCCCCTGAATGATCAGACTCAACTCCCTATCTCCTCTTTTTTGTCACAAATTAACAAGGGTATCAAGGAAGAAAAATCCTAGAAGTAGGAAGCAACCAACCATATAAATCTTGTAAATTGAAACCAAAGAGAATGTTGACTCCACAAGATTATATGTACCAACAGAAATAACCAAGATCAATTCAATTAAGTTCCACAAACTTAGTAAGTGTAGTAAAATCACCATCAAGTTCTAAAAACATATGATCTGTCAATTGTTTAGATTTCAAATAATAAATCAATGATATCACATATCCTTATGACGGGGCGGGGGCCGTTCCTATACGCCAAATTGATGTAGTGAATGTGCGGTTCAAGAAAAGCCTTTTAGGTCAAATTTGAATTTATAAAAACCACTACCAACACTACTACTAACGTAGCAAGAGTGAGTAGGGATCATCCCAAGGGATTATGAGGATCGAGCAATGTCGAGGAATCACAATTAGGGCTAGTAGGTCGAGTGATCAAACAATTGGTTAGTTGGTTGATTAAAGAGCAACTAAATTAAACTAAGTGATAGTAAAAGAATGCAATTAAGAGTAAGTAAGAGAGAGAGATCTTGGGGTTTAGAGATCACCACCAAACAATGCATTTCTATACCATTGACAAGTGATTAATGAGGGCAAATGGTATGTTGCAATATTGGTGTGTGTGTGTTTTGTTGATTCAACAAGTAAGGGTGACTAGTAAAGCATGTATTGTCTAAACATCATGTGAGAGGCACAATATATCTAAGCAATGAAGCATACATTGTCTAAATAACATGTGAAAGGCACAATAAATCAAAACAAGTCATTAATTCTTTCATTAAGCTCACAATCCAAATACAACACAAGGATAGAGACATATGCTACTTGCATTCAAAAGCTTGGATCATCAAACAATAAGCATAGATTGTCCTCCCATTTAACATTACACTACAACTACACTACATCTACACTACTAGCATGAAAATAAACTAAGGGAGAGGCACAATCCATCAAAAGATAAGCATGAACCATCAAGAGAATCACAAAAGCACTCCTTTAAGCACTATGTTTTGACAATCTCCAAATCTATACCATCAATACACATAGACATGCATCAATAACACAAAATCTAGAGACAAGTATATGAATATCTATTCTAGTATACATAGACATATGGATAGAATGAAATGATTGATTGGAAGCATTAAACTACATAAATCATTGAATAAACAAGATCTATATATATCAAAGTGTCAAAACATCAATTACAACACTAATCCTTCAAAAATACACAAGATTAAGATATAGAAAGCATGCTTGGGTCTAACTCTAGCCCCAAGAGGATGTCTAGCCACTCATGGTGATGATGCTCCAACCCTCAAGGGTTAATTCCATAGTTAAAATCTGCTCCTTGTTGATGAAGAGTCTCCAATAGTGTATTTAGCCTCCTCCTCTTCTAAGTTTCCTCTCCAAGAGATGATATGAAAATAAGATTTTTTTTTTTTTTTTTTTTTTTTTTGTTAAAAAGCAATCCTTATCCTTATATAGGTAGGTCAAAAACACCCAAAATGAGCTGGGGTCGTGCACATAATATTCCCTAATGATTGGATAAAGGACAACTTTCAATGAGATGGAATTTTAACTTTTTCGCACTGGAGGAAGTTCGATCGATCGAACCTTAGTCTTGGATCGATCGAAAGTAAATGAGATCGATCAAACTTAGGCTGGATCGATCCAACTGGCTGAGCTTTTTGGAAAAAGACAAATCCGAGATATTTATGGGGAAAGGACAAAAGTGGTTAGTGGGTGGTACAGCTGTGGATAGGATCAATCATTTGAATAAGGACAAAAGTGTTCGATCGATCAAAAGATGGTGTTGGATCGATCGAACTTTTGGAACTTTATGCTTTTGGGTCAAGGCTTAGATCTATCTTGAAGTGCTGAGATCGATCATTGTTTGATCGATCGAACCTTGAACTTGGATTGATCGAACTTTGCTGCTTGCCACCTTTGGCTTCATTTGCTTCATTCTTTCTCCATTTTGCACCTTTCTTTGTTTAATCCCAGAATTGCTTCGATTAAGCTCTTATTTGGCCGAGTTAGCTTATTTTCGGGATAAGTGCTTGAAAAAGGAAATAATACGGAATCAATCTAAAACGGTAAAGTAAGATAGATAAAGGTACTAGAATGCCTAAGGTTAAGGGGTTTAAATACGCACTTTTCAGCACTTATCACCTTAGAAATCAAGCAATCAACATGTGCAAACGACATTTTTTTTTTTATCACTCTTTGTGCTCCATTTTTCTTTTTGCCCATTGGCGGCTTTCACTCTTATGGGCAACCAGCTCTTTCCCTTATTCCCATTTTTTCGAGTCAAGGTAGCTTTCGGACAAATCCCAAAGGTAGCCTTTTCCACCTCACATTTTTTTCAAAAATAACAAATATTTGACTTTCTTTTTCAAAAACTGTTTCATTCCAAGCTGTTTTTCAATTTTCTTTTTATTTTCACTCTTTTGGTCTAAAACACATAAAGCAAGTTTAAATTCCAAGATAATAATCAATCACATCAATATTATCTTTGACCAAAATAATGAACTCTCAAGTAAATGTACTATTAATGATTCATTTACTATACGAAATAAGTAAGCAAAACCAATTTCATCAAATCATAGCCATTGTATGCTTTCCACAGATAATCCATGTGTCATTAAACTCCTTGTGTTCAACATACTTAATCAATATAGTTTGCTTAACTTCCCAAAAACATAATCTAGACACTTAAGATATGCATGAAAATCCTTTCTAGACTATGTCTTTGCAATGCATCTAATCAAGACAACAAACACCAATAGATTTCCTAAAATGAGAGAACTTAGGAGCATCTAATGGTTTAGTAAGAAAATCAGCCAAATTTTAATCAGTATGCACTTTTTCCAAAGACACGACATTTTGTTCAACAAGTTCCCTAAGAAAGTGATGTTAAATATCAATGTGTTTAGTCCTAGAATGCAAAACTGGATTCTTTGAAATATTTATTGTACTAGTATTATCATAAAAGATAAAAATAGTACTGATCAACTCCATAATCCAGAAGCATCTGTTTCATTCAAAGCAATTGTGTGCAACAATTTCCAGCAGCAATGTATTCAGCCTCGCAAGATGATAAAGATATGCAATTTTGCTTCTTGCTGTACCATGAAACAAAAGTAGTACCAACATAGAAACAACCACCGGAAGTACTCTTTCTATCATCATTGTTTCCAGCCCAATCAGCATTAGTATAGCCTGCAATCTCAAAGTTAGACTCAGAAGAATAACGCAATCCATAATTCAATGTACTATTGACATAACGAATAATACGCTTGACTGCAAGGATGTGTTATTCTCTAGGATCAGCTTGATACCTTGCACAAACACCTACACTAAAAGAAATATCTGGCCTAGTTGTTGCCAAATATAATAAGCTACCAATCATACTCCTATACAAGAAATGATCAACCTTGTTAGGATCAGAGTCTCTATCCAATTTGGATGAAGTACTCATAATTGTTTGAATATACTTTGAATCTTTCATACCAAACTTTTTAACTAGCTCCTTTGCATATTTTGATTGAGATATGAAAATCCCATCATCAAGTTGTTTCACTTGGAGACCTAGAAAGAAAGTTAGTTCACCAACCATGATCATTTCAAAAGTATTACTCATATCTTTAGAAAAACTATGAACAAGGTTATCACAAGTAACACGAAAAACAATATCATCCATATATATTTGAGCAACAAGAAAATCTTTTCCTTTCTTGAAAATAAACAATGTTTTATCTGCTCTTCTTCTGAAGACCTTATGCAATGTGATACCCCTAGGAACTGAGACACGGGTTGATCAGGCGCAGGTCCAAACCCGAGGGGAATATCAAACAATTAATATTTTAAAACGAACACGGATTACAAAATAGATTTAAGAAGGTAAAATAATAAAGCTGAAATGAATACTAATATAAAATCCTCAACTGATAAAAATTAAATAAATCCAACTTCCGAAACCTCCATGAATACAACTCAGGAATCCATCTCTAATGGACCCCTAATAATAATCCAAACTGAAAAGAAAACTACTAAAAGAACATCCATAGTAAACTATGGAAAGAAGTCCTACATCGTCGGAAGAGTGAGTGATGGTCTCTGCTCAGCACGATCAAGCCTACGACTGGAACGGTCGAATACCTGAAAAATAAAAGTGGGTCAAGCCCACAAACAAGTTCTATCTTACTACTATCCAAGTAAAGACTTGGTACGCATATACATTCTAACCAACTCAACAATAGCTAATAGTCCGTACATATGTATATTCACACTACAGGACTCTCATTGGACTATGGAGAGGGTCTCAATCTGAATAGAAGGCAACATGCAAAAATGCACCCATAGGTGGGCATGAGTACCTAGACCTAACAGGGTACACCTCAACCTCTCATATCCAGCTACACATCCTACTGCATATATGATCCCTAACCGACGACTCTGAGACTCAAGCTCATATCGCGGTACCATAAAAATATATTTAAAGTCCGATCCTAAGTATCCATAAAGAATCCAGTTAGTCATTCAGCTTGTGCAGCTTCTTTGACTTAACATATATAACAAGTAATCCAGTTAGTCATTCAGCTTGTGCAGCTTCTTTGACTTAATCATAAGTAGGATTTATTTTGAAATCCATTCCCTTATTCCGTGTAGGTAGGATAGAGTATTTTGAAACTAATCCAAACCTAGACATGTCACCGTCCCATACCGGTGCATGTAATCCAATAACCAGCAGTTGATAAAACAATTTATAAGTGTAATTATCAACTATATAATAAATCCAACAATCGACAGTCAATCATTTAATTGTAACCATCAACTACTTCACATTAAGCATGTTATCACTTTGTTATTTAACAAGCCTGTTTAACACTGCTCCACACAGTTCCATGATTGATAAATATACATTATATATGCAACTTTTAATTAAATCCAAGTAAGCATAACAGAGTATATAGATTTACATGCTCACCTTATATTATTACACAATTGTTCAGGAACTGACAACACAACTAATGTATGTTTTCATTATTTATCCATTATAAGCATACAATCATCTTGTAATCTAACATGTTTATAATTTACTACAGAAATACAAATAACCCATAACTCCATTCCAAGACAAATTGCTATGCATAAGGTTGTGCAATTTAAACCCTCAGTCCACAAACCGTCTGCTAAGTTACTTAAATATCATACACTATTTTATCAGCAAACATACTTGATTTATCATGCATTATCAAGTCCTCTGAATACTTAATTTGATCCTAGATCCCAACCAAAACTCCCAATTACAGCTCCTGCACACACCCGTAGCATCAGAAATCAATCCGGAATCAACACAGAGGGTTAAAAACCCAACCGAGGAAGAAGGAGACGTCTCCCCACAAGGGGAGCCGCCTCCACACCATGTGGAGCCGCCTCCACCATTGATGGAGCCGGCTCCCCCTTGTGGGGAGTCATCTTTTTGGCCCTTTGCTCCTAAACTGCTCATCTTCTCCAATTGCATCCTCTATGGCAACGTGCAGTGCATCTATCTTAAATTCTAAGGCTACTATTGGTTAAAAGTATATCCCAGTGTGATCCAGAAATAGTTTAAGGCCTTAGTCACTCCCCGACACAATTGGAATAAGATTTATGCAACAAGAAGTTAAAACGAGCAGTTTTCCCTTCAAGAACACACACTGTTCTAAATACCTCAACCATGTGAACCAGTGTAATATTCATGCTTCTCTGAGTGTTAATAACTAATTTAACTCTTGACATACCAGTTTACAAGCATTAAACATCTAGTTATGTGAATTAATTAACAAGTTACATACAAAAGATTTAAAAACAAGCAGTGCAACACATGATACGTTCAGTTTAAACAAAACAACAGAGACATGTAAACCAATTTACTTTTAATCTTTATAGATTCCTGGAATTGTATTAGAGATGCAAAGAACACGAGCCTAAGGGATTAGAACTTGCCTTACTCCGACGTCGTTCTCAATTCTTTGGTGACTATCTGTTTGCTCCTTTGGTTTCTCTCTCTGCCTCCACCACCATGAACAGGGTTCTAAAACCCTGGACAGAATTTTACCCGTATATTTATAGACAACTAATCTTAGGTTCCATTAAACCCTAACTAACTTACCCGGCCCATAAACTAACCTATGATATATAATTATCGGCTACATATAAGAATTGTAAACCTAATTTATAACCATACGTGTGCAACCCCATATACAACCACGTTAAGAAGGAAACATCAAATTCAATTAATAATTAACTAAATTTAATTAAATAAATTCAATAAAATAATTAACTACACTGAACACAATTAATTCTCAAGTACAAGTAAATCAATTAATCAATTAAAGCAAAACAAAATCCAATTAAATAACAATTAAATAAACTCACAACTAATAACAATTAAATAAAACTCACAACTAATTCAAACAAACAAACAAACCAACAATCAATTAAATAAATTAAAATTTCAATTAAACAATTAAATAAATACCAGGACTATCCTTTTAAAATTAGGGGTATTACATGCAATAGATAAGAATTCAACTTCTCATACCATGCTCTAAGTCCTTGCTTTAAACCATAAAGAGCCTTTTTAAGATGAAAAACAAAATCAGGATTATGTGGATCAATAAAACCTTTCGGTTGTGCTACATAAACTTCTTCCTGTAAAATACCATTAAGAAAAGCACTTTTAACATCTATTTGAAACAATTTGAATTTAAATTAGCATGTAAGAGCAAAAATAAGTCGAATAGACTCAAGTCTAGCAACAGGTGCGAAAGTCTCATCAAAATCAATTCATTCAACTTGAGTGTATCCTTGTGCAACTAACCTAGCTTTATTCCTCATCACAAGACCATGTTCATCAAGTTTATTTTTAAAGATCCATTTGGTCCCTATGATATTAACATCACTAGGTTGAGGCACTAATTCCCAAACATCATTCTTCACAAATTGAAGCAATTCTTCTTGCGTAACCATAAGCCAATCAGAATTTTGAAGAGCTTCATCAACATTCTTAGGTTCAAAATGAGCTATGTGACATGAGTGAACTATATCATCTACAATACATGAGTGTCCTACATCATCACGGACTGTACTCCCAGTTCCATGCTTATTCCAAGGACCTATCACATTATCAATTGGATGACTCAATCTAACTCTAGAACTGCTAGATGTGGGAATATTTAGAGACGGTGCAGGAACTCCTATAGGTTCATCAGTGGTAACCTCTAATTCCTCATCCTTATCTTCTTCAACCTCTTCACCTTCTCCACCTAAATCCTCAACTCTTTTTTCTTCTTGAATAGCAGGTACTTTCTTTTCTCCTGCAATTTTAAAATTAGTTTCTTCTTCATCAAGTTGAGAAGAGATTATCTTAGATTTTGTATCATCAAATACAACATTTATCGACTCCATGACCACTTTGGTTCTAAGATTAAAAACCCTATAAGCCCGACTACTTTATGAATAACCCCAAAACACACATTCATCACTTCTAAAGTCAAATTTTCCCAAGTATTCCCTATTTCTAAGGATATAACATTTACTTCCAAAGACTCTAAAGTATTTAACAGTGGGCTTTCTATCATACCACAATTCATATGAAGTTTTGTTAGTTCCAGGCCTAAGATAAAACTCTATTTAGGATATGATAAACAGTACGTACCGATTCAGTCCAAAAGTGACTAGCAATCTTATTCTCCTGAAGCATAGTACGAGCCATACCTATGATTGTCCTATTTTTTCTTTCCACTACACCATTCTATTGTGATGTTTTAGGTGCTGAAAATTCATGCTTAATGCCATTCTTATCACAATATTTAATAAACTCCTTAAGTTCGAATTCACCTCCATTGTCGCTTCTAATCCGATTAATTCGATATCTCTTCTCATTTTGTATAAGTTGGCAAATAGTCCTGAAATTCACAAAAGTATCAGATTTTTCTCTCAAATATGCAACAAAAGTAAACCTAGAAAAATCATCAACCATAACAAGCAAATATCTTTTTCCTCCAATGCTATCAGGTGTTATGCGACCCATCAAATCCATATGAATTAATTCTAAAGGTCGAGAAGTGACTTTATGAATAAGTCTCTTATGTGACACTCTAGTTTGTTTTCCTAACTGACATGGACCACATATTTCATTTTTAGGCATCTTCAATTTAGGCAAACCTCGAACAAGATCATTGTTAGACAAATTCACTAAATCAATATAATTCACATGTCCAAGTCTTTTATGCCATAAAACAGCCTCATCAGTAACTGCAAAAAACACATAAGTGAAGGATCTGAAAACATAACATAACAATTATCAGAAGTTCTAGTTCCTTTCAAGATGCATTCACCTTTTTCATTAGTTACAAAACACCCTTGTTGAGTAAAATTTACTCGAAACTCCTCATCACATATTTGACTAATACTCAATAGATTAGCAGCCAAACCTTTAACATATAGGACATTTTTTAACTCCCCAATTTCTAGAAATTTGATCTTACCTTTACCACTTACAGTAGAAGCTTTACCATCACCAAAAGTAACAGTACCAACTGAGCATTCCTTAAACGTGATAAATAATGTTCTATCCCCTGTCATATGCCTAGA